CTTCCCACCAGAACCTCTTTCGGTGCTCACTAATCTCTCATTCTCTCTCTCTGCTCTGCAGTTTGCCTCCGGATCCAGATCAACCCCCAGAACAAGGGCGAGTTCCAGGGCATCTCCCCAGAGCGGGCGTTCGCCGATTTCCTCTTTGCCAACACCATCCTCCACCTCGTCGTCATCAACTTCGTTGGCTGAGCTCTGGGAGAGGCTGCTAGGTACTGATCCATGGGATCTCAAAAGGGGCAACCACAGGGCGTCAGTGTTTCTGGGGGAGAACTAGAACCAGAGTGAATCCAGGAGTCCTCCTGACTCCCAGCTGCCTCTGGGCCAAGCACAGCCGGGCTGTTGTTCTCTGGATTGGCACAGGGTGAGGATTTACGGCTTTCTGCTTTTGAGCATGTATTTTTTGGCTTTTGTATCATTTGATAGGGCATTTAACTAGGAGTGTTACAGAAACCTACCCACATTCCTCTCTTATGAGAGGTATTCCTCATTCTTCTTTGCAGGAGGGGCTTTGGGAGCTGGAACTCCTGGGGGAGTTTCCTCCCTTTGTGAGGGTTGTCCTTTCTGGAGGCCATGGTGTGGCTGGGGTCCAAGTCTGCAAGTTCCTCCACAGATGAGGCAGTTTGGGACAGGGACAGTTGGGTTGGGAAGTGGAGGACATGCCCTGTTGTTACTATTGCAAGGGGCCACAGGATCGCGGGAGCTTGGAGGAATTTCCTCCCCTTAGCAGTAACATTGCTCCTGTTGCCTTCTCTCTTTCCAGGTCTTGAATTGCTCCTGAGCTCTGATGGCAAAGCCTGGCATAGGGAAGTGCAGTTCCCCAGCAGACTCTCACCTTCTGCCTTGGTGGAGGAAGGGGATCAGGTTTTTCCCCACAGTGTCCTATGGAGGGGTCTGCAGCCTCGTTATGTACCTGTAATCCTTTCTATCAATAAAACCCTGTGTGACACTGCAGCCTTTTCCCTGTTGGTGACAAATACAGAGCTTCTCCTGCACCCAAGTTCTCTCCCTCACAGGCATGACTCCCTGATTGTACCCCTCTCTCTCCCTTTCTACCCAACAGACTTTTTTTTCTGTGCCCCAGTTTTGGAGGGAAGCAGGAAACAAGTTGTCATGAAAACTCAGTTGTCATCCACCCTTTTCATCTCCCTTTTTCCTGCACCTTTATCTTACAGAGTCTGTTGCCAAGGTGCCCCTGGGCTTCAAAGCTGTGGAAAAATTCGGGTTAGGCTGTGGTGAGTGGTCATAAAGGGAAGGAGCTGGTGGGTGTTCTCCAGCATGTCCCCAGGTGTACCCACCTTCCCACAGGTCCTCCCACATCCCTCAGAGGCACATGGGCCATGTGTGGATGTCCCAGGTGGACTTAGAGCCCCACTAAGGCTTGTGAGTTGTTACAGCCACCCTGCCACAGTGTTGAGGTCCCTGCACTCTGATGTACTGATGAACACAAGCATGTTGGAAGGGGCTGCCAAGCTGTCAGGGCCTCTGAGCTGCACTGAAGCTCTTCTGAGGGAAGAAGCTCCCCCCTCAGATTTAGAATCACAGAATCATCAAGGTTGGGAAAGACCTTCAAAGTCATCCAGTCCAACCCTCCACCCACTGTAACCCCTAAACCATCACCCAGCACCAGATCCAGGCACCTCTTGAACACCCCCAGGAGCGGTGACTCCACCACCTCCCTGGGCAACCTATTCCAATGCCTGACCACCCTAACAGTGAAAGCATTTTCTTTTAATATCTAATCTGAGTCTCCTCTGGCTCAGTTTGAGGCCATTTCCCCATGTCCTCTCACTGCAGGCACGGGAGAAGAGGCTGACCCCACCCTCCTCTCAGTTGTTTGTGAAAGCGATGAGTTCCTCAGACTAAACAAGCCCAGCCTCCTCAGCCATCCCTCATAAGGCATGTTTTTCATGAGCCTTGTTGCCCTTCTCTGGACACACTGCAGCCCCTCAATGTCCTTTTTTAAATGAGGGGCCCAGAACTGAACGCAGCACTCAAGGTGTGGCCTCACCGGTGCCAAGTACAGGGAAAGGATCACTACCCTGGTCCTGCTGCCACACTATTCTGGATAGAGGCCAGGATGCCGTGTGCATTCCTGGCCACCTGGGCACGCTGTTGGCTCATATTGAGTGAGCTGTCAACCAGCACCTCCAGGTGTCATTTCTGCAGAACAGCTCTCGAGTCCCTCTTCCCCCAGCCTGTAACTCAAGCAGAATTCTTGAGGGAGAGTAGAATTGCAGGGGGACTTTTCACAAGGTTGTGTAGTGACAGGACAAGGGGGAATGGCTTCAAACTTCCAGGGGGCAGGGTTAGAAGGGATATTGGGATGGAATTCTTCCCTGTGAGGGTGAGGAGGCCCTGGCACAGGTTGCCCAGAGAAGCTGTGGCTGCCTCATCCCTGGAAGTGTCCAAGGCCAAATTGGACAGGGCTTGGAGCAACCTGGTCTAGTGGAAGGTATCCCTGCACATGGCATGCAGTGGAACGAGATGGGCTTTCATGTCTCTTCCAACCCAAACAAATCTGTTGTTCTGTGATTCTCTGATCAATTTGGGTCCTATCAAAGCTATTCCCACATCGGAATAAGCTTCAACAAATCCATCAATACCTTCAAACCCTGCTCCTTATAAAGTCTGTACTCAGGTTCCTGGTCACACAAGGAGAAGGATAAGAAGAAAGGCTGGTTTGTGCACAGGGCCTTGTTTGGTGAGAGATGACAAATGTTGGGCAGGGTATTCCTCCAACGAAACCCTTAGAAAATGTTCAAATTCATCTACCCATAGGCAGGTTTGGGGGACACGAGCTGGTATAGGGGAGAGGGTGCTAGAGATGGACCATGCAACATCTTCCCTGCCAGTCTGACAGAACTCGGGCCTGGCCGTTCATCCTCCCTTCTCCTCTGGGTCAGGAGAAATGGAAGGATTTTTCTGGATGGATTCAGTCTGTATAAAGGGTCTGTATAGAGATCTATCAGCAAATTCAGAAATCTGACACAATTCTAAGATCTTTCCCCACCACCCACCACACTTCATAAGGCATTTTCTCCCCTCCTTTCCCTGCCCACTCTATTCATAGCTCAGTCCTTCCTGCTATAACCAAAACAACTCCCCCACCCTCCCCAAGTGCAGGCTGTGGTGAGGGGGTGGGAGGGAAGGATGTACTAACCTCATTCCACTTTGGCTTGTGGTCTAACGTCTGCTGTTCTTTTCCTTTCCACAGCTTCTCCCCCTCCCTGCCATGTGCCACCCCAACCCTGCACCTCCACCCCCATTTGTGCTCCACTTTCCAGAGGAAGTGGTTTCTGTGGTCAGGTGTAGATGAGCATCAAAAGGTGACCCAGATCTCGATTGTGGCGTCATGGAACTGGTGCTGTGGCCTCTTCCTGCCTCACCTGGGCCGTGAGCCCCTTTCCACCTCCTGTCCTGCTGTATTATTTCCTGCCTTCACTTTGCTCTGCGGTTTTTATTTCTCAAAATAAGCAAGAAAGCACAAAGGGGGCAGGGGCACATTGTGGTGGTGGGAGATTGCCAGCCTGATATCTCGAAGTGTCTTTGAACATGCCCAGAGCCACATTAGTCAAAATATTTAACTCATCCCCCACTTGGAAAATCCTGTCACTGGGGTTGTTTAACCTGAAAGAAGAAAGACTGAGATGTAGAAACAAAGGCAGCACAGTCCTTAACCCTTGCCCTTACAGCTGGGAGTAGGTTTGAAGTGCAACATAAAAAAATTAAGATTTAAAAAGTGATGTTAAAAGTAAATAAGTATGGAAAGTTTTCTCCCACATCCCTGAAAGTTGCTGGGATGAGGTCAATCAGTTGGAAATTTGTGAAATTCAGTTACTTGCTTTATAGTTCAAATATCGTTTAAGCAGCTTCTTCAAGCTGCTTCCTGGTGATTTGGCAGATCTCATCATGAGCAGAGTGTAAGCTCCAAGAGCTGCCTGGAATCCAGCACTTAAGGAGCCACAGGCTTCCTACATCTGGAGAGATACCAGAGTGACTGTTATGTCAAGGGAGAGACAAGAGAACAAATCCCTGAACATCTGTACTATGAAATAATGGGGGCAATCGACACAGAAAGGTTAAAGTTGTTCCTTGGCAGGAGGGGTCAGTAACTTTGTCACCCTGTGATAAGCCACCTCCTAAATGGTCAGGGATGGTCACTATGATAAATGGTGACCATGGCAAGAGACCAGTGAGACACTGTCATGTTGCTGCTTGGCACTGCAGGGTCAGATCCTGGCATGGTCCTCCCACATGGAGCACCAGGACTTTTGGCTAAAAGCGTTTGAATCATGAGCCTTAATGAAATCAGCCCCATGTGAAGGCTGTGAATCCAGCAGGGTGAGAAATACCCTATGAGGGGGAATCACCCCCATGAGTCCAGCGAGGCTTTTCCCACCACTCACTTTGGGCACCAGTGTAAGGTACGAGCAAGGCTCAAGCTTGTGTTTCTGTCAGAGCACACTTCTCATTCCTCCCTCCAGAGGAATTTCTGGGGCTTCAGAAGAACATGGAGAAATTGATGTCACAAAAGGAGAAAAATTCTTTTCCAGTCTTGCCAAGGACAGATGGAACCTGGAGGCAGAGGGCGGTCGGTTGGTGTCACCACTGCAGAGCAGCTGCCTTGTCCTGCAGTGACACTCAGAAGTGGGAAAACAGTTAGAGATAAGACACTTCAGGCTCCTGTGTCCCCCCCAGCAGCAGGCAGCCTGGACCCATGACTGGTCCTCTCACTGGCCAAGCATGTTTTACTAGCACAGAGTCTGCTCTTGGAGAAGAGTTCCCCTGCTCCTCTCCTTCCCCAGCCACGCTCTTCTCACATGGACAGAGCACGGACATCCTGGAGAGGGAATCTGTAGCTCTTCCCACCCTCCATGGTGAATCCAACCCCTTCCCTCCTTCACCCCAAAGGCCAGGCTCATTCCTAAAGCCCAGCTGAAGGCTGAAGCAATTCCTCAAACAACAAATATAACAGACAAACAAGTTTCTCATTTTGGTAAGAATTTTTTAATAACAGCCAAAGGCCTAAAGAAATGCCAAGACACGGTGTGGGTGCCAGTACAGTTCATGCATTAGCGGCATGTGAATGTCATAGGCATGCACTGTCCAAAGGTGGGCACATGTGTACAGGTAAATATTACAGTATATTTTTATGCAATGATTATAAAAAGAAGTTGGGAAACCTCAGGTTGTTAGACCTAAACAAAAAGAACAAAGGTGGTTTGTATTTTTACTGAATACAAAGCCAAATCTGAAGCTGGTTTAAATTCAGGAAATAGTAAGGCCAGATAGACTTCAGAAAATAATAATTTTTTTTTTTTTTTTTTTTTTTGTCTGTGATAGTGAGGTGACAATTTCACTGAATTTAGGACTTCTGGGACACATAGCAGCACATCCTTTAGGGGAAATAAGAGATTTCTTGCTCTGATCTAGCAAAGGATAGCAAGACACGATGCACAGCATCCTGAGAAAGTCTCCCTTTGCTTTTCAAATTGTTTTATTTGTACATGAAAAGGTGGCTAGGGGGTGCACCCTGAGAGACATGCATACCCTGAATCTGCCAAAATAGGAAAAATTCACATTCAGGTGATATTTAGTTCGCAGTTTTCAACAAGCAGCACTGCTCCAGGCAGAAATTGTCATTTTAGTGCAAGTAGCAGTGATATTTGGCAATCTATATTTATAGCAATGTCTGCTGCCTGCAAAAGAGGTGAATGAACCATTCGGGGGGGGCAGAAAGCTGCAAATTTTAAGCTTAGTTTTGAGTAATTTTGTAGCAATGCAAACAAAGCAATTTAGAATAGAATGGTTGGTGTGATATATAAGAACAACAAGAGATGTTCCTTGCACCAGGAATATTCCTGTGTTCACTCTTGCTCTCAATGGTCTCTCAAAGATTCCTCAGGAGATTTTTTTGGACTGCACCATCCGGTTACTTTCAATTCTGCGACAAAAATAAAGGTATGCTAAATCATTATTTGGGTTACAATCACAGCTGCTGAAGTGACCAGGCAAGAGAAAGAGAAGAAAGAGACACTGGGCCAAAGCAAATATATTAAGGTCTTATATTGAAGTCTCTCATCTGGAGACTGGTCAGGGGATAAATCTGACAGAAGAATGCAGACAAGGGAAGGGATGATGTAGAAATAAAAGGGAGAGATGTCTTGAAGCAAAAAAAAATTGCATATGGACAAGGAAAGGTACTTGAGAGGTGGGTGAAAATGGTCTGGCCAGAGAAGTGGATGAGTTTTACTGTTGGTAGACAAAAGGTGTATGGATAGACTGCATAAAGAGATGTTCCAGAGTGAAGGAAGATTCATAACTGATGAACTGATCCAGATATTTTCTGACAGATGATTTCAGACCCCCCATCCATACTCACTTCTTTTTTCCACAGGAGCATTGTCATCACCACATTAAAAATTAATCCTTTCATTAAAATTATTTTCAGGCCCAACTGTGATAAAGACACTGTGTTCAGGTGTTCATCTGGAAAAGCATCAGAAAATGAGAGTCACAAGAGCACTGAGACATCCTTGTTCCAGACAGATTAAAACACTTCCTAATGAGGCTGCCACCAGATGGAGTCATCTGGTGGGACAGGGAGCAGGACTGATGGACTTTTATTTCTGCCATTCAATAACCACTTAATTATCCGATATGCAAGTCTGCCAGCCATCTAAATACTGTACATTATGAACTCAAGATGCTGGAGGTGTCCCTCCTCCCTCTCTCTAAATTTTTTTAAAGATGGGCAGGGGGAAAACAAATCTAAATTTTATTCATAGAACAAAATTGTATTTGGATTTTCTATTAATCTGAAGTTTGAAAATACATTGTTCTATTCCGGAGAAGCAGGGAGCCATCATCAAAAACACATTTTATGTTTATCATCGAAAACCTCTCTCTCTCTGAAAGGCTGATCAAATCAGCACATTTACTGATGAGTATTTCCCTGAAATGGTGTTTTGGAAAGATTTGCAAAAGCACAGCTGTTCTGTGAGCAGGGCAAGCTCAGGGGCAGGCTCAGCTCCTTTGAACCGGCCGGAAGAGCAGTCCTTGGGCTGCAGCACTACTCATACACCCCCCAGCCCTGAGCTGGAGCTCAGCTTGCTCAGATGCACTACAGCTTTAGTGCATCCCTGAGCACACACAGCAAAAACCACCTGCTTAGCTATTGGTTCATTAGGTGTTTGTGCACCCCAAAATAAACCCAACTCTTCTGAAGTCTGAAAGGCAGCAGACAGTGAGGCTGACTCATATCAGAACCTGAAGTCCCCCAGTGATGGGCAGTAGCTATTTGGTGAGTCATTGCAGGAGCATGTGAACACTGGCTACACTGGTTGCATAAAATTACCAACTTGGATCTGGAAGGCCACATTTACCCCAGGACTCCTAGCCTTGGTGTTTAAAGCCTGTGGGGCCCTTTGGGAAATTTCCAGTCTGAACTTTTTGGTCCAACAACAATTCTGCAAGCAGGAAATATCTGCAAAAATTTGGGAAAATATTTCCTCTAATCAGGCCAATCTTTACTACTAAAATGCTGTGTACATACCTGTCCTGAAGTGTAGGGACAGCCCTGTAACACAGACAGTGCTGGCACCTGCAAAGAGTAAAGACAAATTTAATTAATAACAGAAATGGACTTATTCAGAAGCTCATAATGACATCTCTGCTTAGAAGGGATAAATTAGAGTTTCTGGCCATTGAAACCTCCCATAAACAATCTTTTCTGCTGTTTTCAGGGCAAGTATAAAATATGATGTAATTAAACTTCAGGGTCCCACTGGGCAAAGGAATGTCAAGGTTTCCTTCCACACTCCCCCCCAAAGCGTTTTTAAGATCTCTCTGCTGTGACTGTACCAATCTACTGACCCTTAATCTTGTTTCCACCAAAGAGGAAGAAGAAAGAAAAGAGGGGCAACAAGGCAACATTCCTCTGGACTGTGGGAGTTAATGGAGCATTGCTTGCATTGCTGGGAGATGTGAACCAGTCCTGCTCACACGAACAGCCCAGAGCCCAGAGCACCTCTGACCCTGCACACCCCCCCAGCAATGCCATTACCACTTTCAGGGTCCTCGCCCTCCAGTTCTCCAAAGCCCACATGACTGGCACCACACTGCATTTCATCTCTCCTGGCCCAGTAGGTTGACAGGTAGCTCGATTCCACGCTGTTCTCAGCTGTTGCCACCTCCACAACAGCAGATGTGGCCTTCTCAGCAGTGTAAAAAGTGACATTTTCAGGGGAGTAATCTGTGATCAGGCACATTTCCAAATCCTCATCATCTTTAGAGGTCAGCCTGTAGGCTGAAGGAGACGGAGGAGCTCCTGAAAGTAGAGAAAATAAGAGTCATTAGATGAGAGTACACATTCACAGTTCCTTTAGTCTTAACATACAGACCCTTAGAAATGCAGGTTCTTCCATTACTCCAGTGGGAAGTTGCCTGATCATAGGGGTCTTGTGCTAGGACACCTTTAGAGAACCAAAACTTCTACTGCAGATGATGCAGGAGCTACTTCTGTTGACTTAGGTTGTATGGGAGACACAGAGAGTGGTCAGGCAGGGCCCCTGGAGCACCTCAAAAGGCACTCGTGGACATCCACACTCTGGATGTTCACATTTAACCTGGCCATTTCTCTCTGGAACAACTCCTCAACTCTGCTCTGCAGCCTGGGTGCACTCAGGAATGTGTACAACAGGTGAGAGGGCACCTGAGCAACCTGGGCTAGTGCAAGGTGTCCCTGCCCATGGTTGGAACATGGTCTTTAAGGTCCCTCCCAGCCCAAACCATCCCGTGATTCTGTGATTCTTTCTTCACTGCTATGACATGTAATGTGTCTGGAGAGAGCTGAGCAGGCCAGGGCCATTCAGCCTGTTCTGCAAAGGTTCGGTCAAATCCACCAGTGAAACCCGACTTCTCCCCATGTCCTGAGGGGCAGTGGATAAACCACTAAACCTAAATAGATCTCAGTCATTTACCATGAGTCTCACTAATGGTGCTCCTACAGCAGAAAGGTAGAGAAGCCACTGAAAAGCAGGAGCACATGGCTGCATTCAGGGAGAGGTGGATGAAGCAAAAAAATGTTTCATCATGTTCCACCACTTGACAGCTCAGTGCCAGTTCTTTTTACTAAATTTTATGCTGCAGAAGGGGGGGTTGAGGAACTAAAGGCTGCAGATATAAGACACTTCATGTTCATTACTGTTTTCTTGCTTCAAACTCTGCTAGCAAGTCAGTCAGACTGGGATTTTCCACACATAAAAACACAACCTGTTCATATACCTAACTGATAAATATTGTAGAAATGCTGAAGACTGCTTAGCTTCTAGATGAAAAATTCTTAATTTCTTCCCATATGAGAGGTTTGGAATAAATCTTGGCTTCTAGAAACTGTCTCAAAATCTATCACTCGGATAAATGCTCTTCATCTGTTCGGTTGCCAGCTGTCAGCACTATAGAGAAACAGCCATAGTTCTCTATTAGGATGACATCAGAAAAAAACTAATCCACAAAGCCCAATTGTTCGTTCTCTGGCCCTTCTTCTAAATTACAGTTCATCTGTCCTCACTTTGCCCTGGCTTTGAAGAACCTGATGAGAGTCTTTCCAAACTATGAAGAAATACAGTCCAATGTGTGTTCTGACTCCCTCAACCCCGCTTCCCACCTCACATACTCCCAGTTCTGTTTTGGAAATTTCAGTGATTGTTTTTTAGGGAGAGAAAGACAGGTGCAGGTAAAAAGTTTGGTGATAGATCCTTGTATGAAATACAGAGGAACCAGGGTACATCACTACCCCGGGGTGCATGGAAACAAAAGAGAAGAGGAGGAATTGCTAGAGCTGTTCTGTTTCTCTCTCATCACGAGCACTGTGCTTTCTGAACACAGTGCTCTCCAAATTAGGGTGGTTTTCTCCCTTTCAATCTGTGCAATGCTTTGATCTCAAGCAGATAAAACAATAGCCTGTTTTTCACAAGAAGCTTCGGCAGTACCGGTTTTGCAAAATATTCATTTCTTGATCTTAGAGTGGGGCTGCTCTTGCTCTGGTGCTGTTTGTAGTACTGATAAATTCTTTTATGTATCTGCACACCGTTATGAAAGTTTGCAGATAGTTTTGGTAAATACCAACTACTATAACCACGGCACTGTGACCTGTTATTCTGTCTTAATGAACTGGCGGATGTGCTGGAGATGCTGCATATTTATGAACTCTATTTACAGGAAAGATTGGGAAGTGATTCATGTTACTCTGAGATGTCCACATTGCCTAATTCCATTTTTCCTGAAGAATATTTTCCAGATGGAAGAACAGGAGCTGTTAGAATGCTATTCCTGCCCAGTTTACAGAGAAAGCTAACTTTGAGTCTGATTTCATGGAGAGAGCAGTAGAACCCTGTTCCAATATCAGACTGAGACCTCTGCCTTTTTTTATTTTTTTCCCTTAAACAAGCTTCAGTAGAAATCCTGAACTGGTTTTAATACCCAGTTTGTATTGCACAGAGAATGATCTCATTCTCCATTCCCTCTAAGGTAAATTCTCTGAATCTCTGGTCACTCTGGAACTGGTGTGACAGAGGTCTTTGATGCTCTTACCATTTCTCAGTCTGAGACATGATATTCCACAGCTGGAATCAACCTGGAGCTATGCCCAATTCCAGGGACATCTGCACCCCCTCACACACTCATACAGGCTGATCTTCACCCCAGAGGAGCAACTCCAATGAATTAACAAGCACTTTAGTGATGTTCCCCATCTGTCCCCCAATGCAGGTTCCAAAAGGTCCTCTGTGAGGTCTGCCAGCCCTGCATGGATGCTGGGATGGCTACAGCAAGACTAGATGAACTTAGATAAGACCTTTAATAGATAACTTTCAATGCTCTTGTCTGGAGACTCTCAGGTAACAGAAGCCGGGTCCTAGTCCAGCATTAGCCAAGTCACCCAGAGTAGAGACTCTGTGCAGAGATTCACCGTTTGCAAATGTGAATATGCTCCTTCGCTGACAGACTTCAGGCATAATTCTGTTCTCCAACCAAAAAATGTTCTTTTTATTGCCTCTGTAATTATTCTTGGAGAATTCAAACTACCTAAACCATCCAGAACGTCTCTCACAAAGCATTTAAGGGAAAGATTTCTAGCTAAACTAAAACTAACAGTGACTTAATAGAGGAAGACACCCAGTAGGTGAAGAGATATCAAGTGTTTAATGGATTAAATAGTTCTCTAGTATCAAACCAGGATGAATCTGGGGCTTTTATCATGTGTTCACATTGAGCACTCCATGCTAAATTTCACAAGTTCTTACTACGCTGTTGGGAACTAGGCGAACTATCATCAGACCTTTGAGATGCAGTCATCATCGCCCTATATAAGAAGAAAGGAGTTAAATCAGACTGTTCAAATTACCGTGGTATTACTCTGCTCTCCATTGCTGGCAAAATCCTGGCAAGAATACTCTTAAACAGACTAATACCCGCTATAGCAGAAGGAATTCTACCTGAAAGCCAATGTGGTTTCAGAGCCAATGGGAGTACCACAGACATGGTGTTTGTTCTCAGACAACTGCAAGAGAAGTACAGGGAACAGAACAAAGGTCTCCATGTAACCTTTGTTGACCTCACCAAGGCTTTCGATACTGTGAGCAGGAAAGGTCTATGGCAGATTTTGCAACATGTAAATTGTCCCCCCAAGTTCCTCAAAATGATCATCTCACTCCATGAGGATCAGCACTGCCAAGTCAGATATGGTGATGCACTTTCTGAGCCCTTTCTAATAACTAATGGTGTGAAACAAGGCTGCGTTCTCGCTCCTACCCTATTCACAATCTTTTTCAGCAGGATGCTCCAAAGGGCCACGGCAGACCTCGAGGATCAGGACGGGACCTACATCCGATACTGTACTGATGGAAACCTTTTCAACCTAAGGCAACTGAAGGTCCACACCAAGACCTTAAACCATCTTGTCTGGGAGCTGCTTTATGCTGATGACGCCGCCCTTGTTGCTCACACAGAAGCAGCTCTGCAGCGTTTAACATCCTGCTTTGCAGACGCTGCTGAGCTCTTTGGGCTGGAAGTCAGCTTAAAGAAGACAGAAGTTCTCTATCTATCTGCACCTCAGGAAGTCTTCCATCATCCCCATATCACCATTGGTGAATCAGAGTTCAAATCAGTCCAGCAGTTTAATTACCCAGGTAGCCTCATCTCCTCGGATCGTGAGATTGACGGGCAGATAGACAACAGGTTAGCAAAGGCATCAAGAGCTTTCGGAAGGCTCCATAAAGGAGTTTGGCAAAATAAACACTTGAAGAAAAGTACAAAGATCAGTGTTTACAGAGCCATAGTGCTGACTACTCTCTTATACGGATCCGAATCATGGGTCATCTACTGTCACCAACTGCGACTCCTGGAACGCTTCCATCAACGCTGCCTCCGTACAATCCTAAACATCCACTGGTCAGATTATGTGACCAATACATCTGTTCTAGAACAAGCAGCAGTCACAGGTATTGAGGCCATGTTGCTGAGAACACAGCTGTGTTGGGCAGGACACGTCTCAAGGATGAAAGATCACCGTCTCCCTAAGATCTTGCTTTATGGTGAACTTGCCGCCGGCTGCCACAAGAGAGGAGTCCCGAAGAGGAGATACAAGGACTCCCTGAAACAACATCTCAGCCTTGGCCATATTGATCAACATAACTGGTCTACTCTGGCCTCCAGTCAGGAGGTCTGGAGACACACCATCTGTAACACTGCTGATGCCTTTGAGAAAGCACGCAGGATCACCCTTGAGGAGAAAAGACAATGCAGAAAGAATCGTGCCTTGCAGAATATACCACCTAGGGAGTCTTTCTGCTGTGCCTTTTGCAACTGGACGTGCCTGTCTCATGTTGGTCTTTTTAGCCACCAGCGTGCTTGTAACAAACATGTGTAGAGACCTTTCCCTAATCTTTGTTCACGAAGCCCAGCCATGACATTGAGAAAAAAATGAAATGGATTTTTCTTAAATTTCATATTGGGAAGCAATACCCTGTTTCTGTTCATGCACAGATCTTCTCATACATCACCCAAACCATAGGAGAGACTTAGTATGATCTGTCCCAGGTGATTGAGATGGCTTAACCCACCCATGGGACAGTTACCTGGAAGCAAAAAGACTTGAAATGTCTGCTCATGAACTTCCTGAGAACCTCTGTCTTTTTCACAAGATACTTTTCCATGCTTTTTCTTCTAAAATCAGACTGAGTTTTAATTGCCAGATCAAGTTTTCAACTTTATATGCCAGAGATTTAGTTTCTTAAAAAAGAAAAAATCCTTGAATCATAGAATGGTTTG